TTAGCAAAAATTTTTAACAAATGTTTTATAAAAATATCACTTACATTGACAACAAAATTTCCAGAAGTTGATGTAATAAAATAGGTAAACACCTTATATAATAGCAAACAAATTTTATTTTAAAAATTAATAAAGCTCTAAATAATTGAAAAGTAAATACATTCACAAAAAAACTTTGAAATTATAAAAACTTCTTTCAAACTGATCTTTTAAAATTCTGATAAAATTGCTATTTGTGAAATTTTATAAGAGATCTAAAGTTGATGTAAAAAGCAACAGATAAAAAATAATCAAGATTACCTCCAAGAAGTTGAAAGGAACTCCTTATTACTGAAGACACCATGTACTCTGGACATGGGACTCAGGAGATTCAAGCTCCAAATCTGACCTGAAAGCCTCGTGTCCAAGGACTGATATTTTGTAGAACCAGAAGATGTTGCCAGGGGAAGGAAACAGTAAGTAGTTCTGCCAAACTGTGATGCATACGATCCACAGCAATGATCAGGACGGGAAAGTATCACAAAAGTGCAACAGTGGCACTCGCACCTTGGCAGTAACCTACTGGCTACTACTTGGCTGTCTAATTAGACTTAAGGCTAACTCCATGGAAGCAAAATTATGTCTGATACTGGAAAACTAACCAAGTACCTGAGAAGAGTGAAGTCATAGATCTTAGAGGACAACCACTCCTGCCACTTTATCAGACCAGCACAATTCCTGCCTGAATTCTAAATATATCTTCATGTATATGTCATCATGTATATCATACATATATATGCATGCATCTTTATGCCCATAGATAAAGATCATTATCACTCCTAATCAAAGAAGCTTCCCTTTGCAGTAGATGAAGATGGTTATAGAAAACCACAACTGGTCAAAATATAGAGAATGTTGGATACCTGGCTCCAGTTGATAAATTGATAGCACAACTTCTGAACTTAAGCCTCAGGAAGCATAAAAGAGGAAGAAGAAAGAAGAGCCAGAATTCACAGGAAGCCTGCTGTGAGACTGTGTCTCCTGGAAATGATAGGGAAGCTTCATCCATGCTACCTCAACAATATGGCTGCCTCAACAAAAACCAAGCAATGACAACACTAATATATATACAAAGATGGGAATGGGGAAATCTCACAGTACTACAACCCTAAACAAAGAACCACAAGCAACTAACAATTGCTGAGAGAGGAAGAATGAATCTTCCCCAGGGATGAACTACTTAATTGGTTATCCAACATCAAGTGGTCAGCCCTAAAATTATACACATACAAGCAATACTAAACAGACACATTAGGTTGTATTTATGTATTTGTGTGAATGTGTTACATCATCATCAAAAGGAAAGCATGAATTTGAGAGGGAGAAAGGAGGAGTTTGGGAAGAGTTGGAAGGAGGAAAGGGAAGATAAGTTTATTTAATTATATTTTAGTCAAAACTTAAATATATTGAGAAAACATTTATAATAAATGAACAAACATTAAAAACAGTCAAGAAATGCCTTTAAAACAGATACATTGTCAGACATCACCATTACAAAAAGAAAATAGGACCCTGAGAGTAAAAGAATTTCTTTAAACTACAAATCACAAAAGAAAAGGTCAATGTATTTGTCTAATTTTAAAAATGGTACCTTTTGTTCACATAAAGTTTCATTAATGAAATAGAAGTAAAATGTAAAAACTGAAATAAAAATTGCAGCATAGAGAACTGA